ACTTAGGTAGTACGGAAAGCCATCAAACTTGAACAGGTCAGTCACTGTAGTAGTGAGATGCAACACTTTCGTTGCAAATATTTTAGTGTTATACAAGTAGCGAAAAAACAAACAAGTGTGAAAGGGGGGAGTGCGGCTTTGTTCGGGCTTTAACCGTAAAACAAGCTGTAATAGGTTCTAGCTTTTTTAAAAAGCGGAAAACGGCACTACTGCAAGCGCTAACACAAACACTGAGGAGATGCAATTTTACACTTAGAAAAACATGTAACGGCCTTTCGCAAGATTGATTGAAAAAAATAAATTGCTTTTACTGTGCTGAAGGTTCATATCCTTGGCTAGTTGGATTTTCAGAAATTAAATTTCAAATATTAAAAATATGTCATGACTTGTCAACTCAATATTCTAGTTTTAGCGACTGATTTCGCTAACCAAGCACTTGAAAGTTTCACTTTCGAGACGAGTAGATGGCATCGAGGTGAAAATATTTTTGAGAGTCTTCATAATATAATATTGCACACGCGATGAATGAAGGATTCGATGTTGCTGCTGCACCCAAGTGTAATTAGAAACAGAAATTATTAACTGGAATTCAATTGTCAGGAATTCACGTGCACACTCAACTTAATATTTTCAAATAATCTGTTCGGGCAACTCGCGCGTTTCGGACCGAAATGTTGGTGAAGCATCATTAATAATTTATCAACTTTTAGCAGAATATTGAATTTCGATGTTGCAGCGTGCCAAATGGCTCCACCCGACCGTTTCATTTGAAAGAGCTTGAAGAGTACACAAGAATATTAAGATTTGTTCTTTCCTTCTGGATGCGCGTTTTGGATTTTGTGCCAAAACGGAAATATTGATTTCAAGGGCTATAAAGCGCATAATGTTTCCGCCGTCACCTTTTTTTGAATAGTAAACATGATTTGTTATTGTTGAACTGAAGATCCACACACGCCCTCACAACATGACATTGAAAACTCCAAAGTCATCGATGCATTGATGAAGTTACAAAATGTTGAAGAAAATTACGAAAAATAATCGAACAGCTCTTTAGACATGTTCATCGTAAAACGATTAATCTTTCGCTGGAATGACAACACGTGAAGCAGTTGTGATGCTAGCCTTACAGATTTGTAGCACGTCCATTGCTTCAGAAATTATTATTGCGTCGTACTCTTGCCTAGAGCTACGAACGTACACTACAATCACTACATAAAATTGCCAAGTTGCAAGATCTTATCACTTACCTATAACAGCACACAGAAGGCAGGCAGCGACCAACACGGTACAAAATGTGATCGCCATTATGTGAGTTCATGTGTTTAAAAGAGCTAATTTGCCTAATACATGCAGACTATCAAACTTTGAATATTCATGTGGTTTTAGTTCCGTCATGTTTATTTTTAATCATGGCGAATTCGAAAACCACAAAATAGCGCATACGTATCAAAGCCGGAGTAAAAATAAAGAAAGTTTACGCATAGCTGTGCAAGTTGACCGCTTCCCGTGGGTAACCTAGCTGTTCATTTATGCCCTGGCTTTCAACAGCTTAAAATACGAAAGGACCATTAAGGTGACGTGAACTCGTAAAGATGCGCACTTAAGGACAACAAACCATAATATGGTTTGTTTGGAGCTCACCAAGCAATTTTTATTTTTTATTCAATTTACACCTTAAAAATCACAAACTTATTCGTGTTTATCATTTGGCACTTTAATCCTAGGACAGAATCAATCATTTAAATATTTTCGATAAGCCTAGTACGAGAAATTGCAATTGGCAGAATTACGTTGAGAAGGAGATTGGGGACGAGTGACTGATATCATTGGACCTTATGCAAATTAGTGTTAGGTCTTGCATAAGTGCTCCTTATCTCCAAGGAGGGGGGAGAAAGGGTGAGGGAGGGAAAAGGGGGGG